TATGGTGGCAGTAAAACTATGCGACAACCAAAGCCGGGCAATCTGACGCGTTCAAGATCTGGGGTGTCTCTGAGAGTCACACAGGGACGGTCAGAGCAGAGTCCTCTGCCCACAGGTCGCTGCTGCTGCCCTGACCCCTGACCTTCCAAGGCGGTCTGCTCTGACCTTTCCTGGCTCTGGAGTAGCTGAGTGTCCCCATGTTCCTTTCCACGGTGGCCCTCAGTAACCCAAACCTGAGAGAAAAGCCCAGGATTCTGACTCCTCTCTTCTCTTCTCAAGCCGCCTCCCTTCCCCATGACCAGGGCAAAGCCATATGCAGATGCCACCACTCGCTACTATGTTCAGTCTGTCCCTACTTCCATCCGCAGGTGCTCCCTTCATTCAGACCCTCCTCAAGGCTCCCGTGAGCAGTATTCCACTCTCTCACCTCCAAACCTAATCCCCAAACTCTCCAGAGTGACCTGCCAGGAAGCCTTTCGCCCCCCACCGCGATGCCCTCCAGTGATTCCACACTGCCTCTGGCGGTGACTTTAACAAAGAACGGAGAGGCCGGGGTTTGCCTGCTTCGGGAGTGGGGTGCAGAGAGATCACCTGTCCCAGCACAGCCACAGGCCACCTTTTCCAGCTGCTCTCTCCCCGGGCTCAGGCATCTTACAGCCCGCCGTTAAACTGCATGACCTGCCCTTCCCTTCAGGACTCCACTCCTCCCAGGCCTTCTTCCTCCAGCCTGTCTCCTTAGCAGACACCAGCATGCCCTTCGGCATTCGCCTACAGTCAGGGGCTCTCCTTCCGAAGCCTGTGCTGGGCCACCCCAAAGCCGGGAGGGTGCTTCTATCAGGCACCTCCAGCTTTCTATGCACTCGGTATTTGCAGTCCGCCTCTCTCTGTCATACCCGGATCCCAGGGAGCACAGACACAAGGTCTGTCCCCCTAAGCTTTGGGAAAGAGAAAATGAGGCCCTGACACCCGGAGCTGCGCTGGGGTGCCACCAGCTCAGAGAACACCAGCATCGGCCGAGACCACCCTGTGGCCACGACGCAGTGAGACAAAAACCCGAGACCACCTGCTAACCCTGCATAATCGCCGGAGAGACCGGGGTCACTGTGCAGAGCACGCGCCTGCCAAACACGGCCCCCGCCCCCACCCAGCTCCCTGGGCCGACGGCCGCTTCCAGCCTCGCTCTAGCCGTGCCTCCCTCCGCATAAGACGTATTTCAGGACCCTGGCAGCACGCAGTCCGCGGCAAAGCCCACCCTCCTCCCCACGTCGCCGAGCACCGTCGCGCTCCCCGGCGGCGACGTCCCGGTCCCGAGGTGGGCTGTGGCCGTGAGGCGGGGAGCCCCAGGCCCGCGGCCTGGAGGGCGCCACGGACTCGCCCGGCCGCCGCCTTCCCTCGCCCGCGCCGGGCCTCCTCACCTCGTCCAGGTCCACGTAGGGCCCGGCGCCCTCAGGAAACATCTCGTCCACTGCCGGCTTCATCTCGCCCGCGGCGTCTCCCGCCTCCCCGGCCCACTTCCGGCCCGCCTGATACCTCTTCCGGTGCGCTCTCGGCCGTGGCGTGTCTAGACGCCGGAGGACCTCCGACTCTATGGTTCCCCTGGCACTTGGGGTCCGGCGGGTCCCGGTCTCTCGCCAGCCCGTCAGCGCTCCGGGGAAGCTGCGCAGGGACTCGGGGGTGACCGGCGGCCACAGACAGTTCGGCCCGAAAGGCCTGGCAGGCAGAGGGGCCCAAGAGATGCCCATTACAGAATGTGCGTGGGCAGAAAGCCTGGTGGTTGCCGCAGCGGCGGGGTGGGGGGCAGGCCATATAGGGGAGCGGGATGAGGAGGTACAGACTTCCAGCTATAAAGTGAATGTCTCCGGAAAAAAAGATAATAAAATAAAACAGTCTGGAGGATGAAGAGTACAGCCCGCAGACTATGGCCGATGACAATGTAATAACTGTACCGGGACAGATGGTGTGCAATTGTTAAATCACTGTGTTGTACACCGGAAACTAATATGATATTGTAGGTCAACTGTACTTTACAAAAAAGAATGTGAATGGTCCACGGAGTAAAAAGGCAACCCACAGAATGGGAGGAAATATTTGCAAATTACACACACATATACGTATCTATATATACACACTCACTAAAGGGTTAATATCCAGACTATAGAGAGAACTCCTAAAACTCAACAACAACAAATCCCAATCCAAATGCAGTGACTTGAATACACCTTTCTCTGGAGTAGATATAGGAATGGCCAAGAGGCACATGAAAACATGCTCAACACCACTAAGCATTAGGGAAATGCAAATCAAAACCACCTCACACCCCTTAGAACAGGTGCTATATAAAAACCCAGAGGGAGTGGAAGCAGGGTCTTCATGAGATATTTGCACCCCCGTGTTCAGAGCACTGTTATCCCCAAGAGCTAAAAGTGTAGAAGCACCCTGTGTTCGCGGACAGCTGAATGGATGAGCAAGATGTGTTCTATAGGTACATAAAAGGGAACACTATCCAGCCGCAAAAGGAGGGTAATTCTGACAGATGCTACAACATGGATGAAGCATGAGGACGTTATGCCGAGTGAAATGAGCTGTCACACACATCCCGTATGACCCCGCTGACACGAGTTCCCTACAGTGGTCAGATTCACAGAGACAGAGGGCAGAAGGGCAGGGCGCCAGGGGCTGGGGACCGATGGGGAGTCTGTGTTTCATGGGGACGGAGATCCAGTTGGGGAAAGTGAGAAAGTTCTAGAGGTGATGGCTGCACAACAGTGTGAATGTGCTTGGTGCCACTTAGAAATAGTTACAGCAGTAAATTTTATGTTATATGTATTTTATCATAATTTTTCACAAGTATGTGAATGAGAGAAGGGGATAGGAGGGAAGGAGAAGGAAGGAAGGGGGGGGAGGGAGGGAGAGCATGAGATACTTGAGCTAGACTTGTGGAAGTAGGTAGGCTTGGGGGCTGGGTTGTGAGCGAAGTAGAGGTGCGGGGGCAGGGCAGGAAGACAGGGAATGAGCCCAGATTGAGGGGGACAGTGACCCATGTGGGCAGTTCAGGGAGAGGGGAGGAAAGGCTGGGGGTGTGGGTTAGCCTCAGGTGTCACGGTGACATGAATCACCTTGAAGTACCCGAGCGAAAGTCAGACCAGGGAAGCCACAACTCTGGCCACCAACAGGCTTCTCTTCTGTGTGGTTTCAAATCACGGGAGCCCCATTCCCAGCCGCCGTGGCAGGGATGAGAAGGCAGTGGCCATAGGTGGTGCTTGCTCCTGGTGAGGAGGTCAGTGGTGCAGCGTTGGGGGTGAGGGGCTGAGGGCATGCATGGGGCAGGAAGTGGAGGGTCCCCCACGAGGTCTGCCGGCGGTGCGGGGGAGTCAGGAGGGGGTGCACAGAGGAGAACTGAGCCTGTTGGGTGCTGAGGTGAGCAGGGAGGCCCGAAGTCAGATCTGAGTCCTGACCAGGAGTGGAATGCCCCAGGGGCTATGAGCTCAGCAGGTAGGGGGTTGGCCGAGGGTGGCCCCAGGTGGGGGTTCTTCCTCTGGGAAGAGAAGGACAGAAGTGAGGCCTTTTAAGGACGTAAATGCAGCTGGGTGTCCCCGGGGCAGCTGTGGGCTGCTGATGCCCGAGCCCGAGGAAGGGGTCCGGCCAGGGCACCACATGCTCTTCCCTGGACAAGCCTGGGTTTTGCTCCTCCGGAGCAGCCTGCCGACAGGGGGGTAGAGTGGTGGTTCTTTAACGCACGCCCTAACTGGCAGCATGACAATCCGAGGGGAATATGACCGTGCACACACTCGAACTGACACGCTGGTGAGCAACATGGAGATCCCGCCGTAAAGCATGTCATTTGTCTGGTATGTTTGGTCGAGTCCAGCTGTCCCCAGTGGGAACTTAAAGACCCATCCTCTCGCCTGGCTATCCTGTGAATCCGGACTTTTGTGCTGTTGAGGTTAGTTTACAGAAGCTAAGTTCACACTAGCTCAAGGTGGGGAAAGAAAGAGATGAAGAAGGTAGTGGCTTTTCCTAAAGCCACCGGCTAGGCCTCCTCTGCAGAATGTCCCTGGGGACACCGGCAGTGGTGGCAGGAAGCACGGCTGGGGTGGGAGGGACAGCCACGGGAGGCCGTCCTGCTGTCCTGGGCACCTCCCACCCTCCAGCACCCTCCCCACCCGGCTTGGTGGCTGTGCCCTGTCCCGGGGGAGTTTCTTCCCCACCTATATTTAAATACACAGTGTTTCCCATTATTTTATTTTAAAAGAAAAGCTGGCTGTAGCCCATTGGAGCGATTTCCTCTCATCCGATGGAAGGTGACCAGCAGGGTCTGCAGCTTGTAAGCTTGTGTGCTTGCCTGTGGGGGCTCACCACCTGTGCAGTAGCCAGCCCAGTGCCACAGGATGGTCCCAGAGACACCGTGTAAATGGCCTGCTGGGCCTTCCCTCCCTCCAGAGCACCCAGGGGAGGTAGCCCCATTCCTCCCACAGGCCCTGAGCCTGTCATGCTGGCACCCAGGTTTCAGGGGCCTTCCCCTTACAGACAGAGAGCACCCAGGCCCTGGCCCTTCCTCACAGGCTGGGTTCCTGCTGCGCTGGTGTGAACGGCCCTCAGGAGTACACTGTAGGGAGGGGGGACAGGCAGGGCCCCCAGCCCAGGGGTGGCCGCTGGGGGTCCGGCTGCTGCCGGCCTCCGTGGCTGAGGGCAGGGGCTTTGGGGTGTGGCTGCCTGGATCTGGGTCCCGTCAATAAGGCAGGCAGTGCCCTGGTGTCTGTTTGCCTCAGTTTCCCCCCTGCACTCCGGGGCACCTACAGCACCGCCCTCCCGAGGGGCTGTGAGATTAGGTAAAAGCGTGACACTTACAGCAGGTCCTGAGTGAGAAAGAGTGTGGTTCATTTGTCAAATAAGAAAGGAAACGTGGCCTGACTGGGGCTTTCTTGAAAGAAAACCAGAAGCATTTGTGCGTCCTAAGTCAGGAATTTATTGAGCATGAGGCTAGGGATCCAGGCTGGCCCTCAGTCCTGCTGGTAGGGGACATGGAAGCCCAGCGTGGTCCCCAGGGGGAAGTGAGCGAAGAAGGTGCGGGCCATATCCTCAAGCTGGGGGTAGGCCCCCAGGGTCTGGAAGTACTGCACGTAGTTCCAGAAGTCAGAGGTGGAGAAAGGCCAGTAGGGCATGGCGGGCAGCTCGGCATAGGGGCCTGAAAGACACCACCACCGGCCTCAGGTGCTGTCCCCACTGGTCCTGCCCTGAAGCTGCCCCTCCGTGATGCCGCAGGGCAGGTGGATGGTGCCCAGCAGTGCAGCGGCGGTGGGCAGTGAAGGGGCCCTCCCAGCTGGGAGCCGGGACCCGGGACACCCCTGGTTCTCCGTGAAAGTATCCCGGAGCCTTGTCATCTGGGTGATGACCCTCTCAGGACTCCTGGTCTGGGCGGACAGCTCAGGGAGACGAAAAGAACGGGGGCAGAGGGAAGGGGGAGGGAAGGGGAAATCTGGCCCCTGTCCTGGAGATGCTGGGCAGGGAGGGAACACCATGGTGAGCGTGTGGGGGCATCCTGCTGGGATTTCAGGGGAGACCACAGCCCCCGGCCCCGGAGTCCGGACGCCACTGCACTGAGGTAGGACTGGGGTGGGAGGGCCGTGGGGTGAGTCCAGGCTGGGGGTCAGGGCCCAGGGAAGAGGCTCGTGTCCCTCTGCTCGCATAGTTTATCCTTGAGCTGACCCAGGGTTCCTGCTTCATTTGCTCAGGCTAAGAAGCCAGCGCCCACCTGGCTCCCCCTTCTGACCCCATCCCACCCAAACACACACAAGAAAAGAATAAGAGAGCAGTACAGTACCTCCCTCCTCCTGCACTGGCTTGGCCCCTGCAGAGGAAGAGGAGGGCAGTCACTCCGGAGAGCCCCCCAAGGCAGGACCCCCCCCGCCGCCCGCCGCACAGGCCCGCGCACCAGCTGCCTAAGCAGCCAGGGAGCCAGCAGGAGGGACAGAGCCACCACTCACCTGCCAGAGGTCCCAGCAGGAGGCAGAAGGCCAGCCCTGGCACCAAGCAGGCCTTCATCTCCCCCAGGCAGGCCCTCCACCAGCTGATGAAGCTCTGGTCCACCTGCAGCGGGAGGGACCCAGGGGGTGGGACCAGCCCCCCATCAGGGCCCCAGCCTCTTCCCGCCACCCCACCCCCACCCCCAGCAACTCCCTGGAAAACAGGTCTGGTAACCAGACAAGCTCCCAGGGTTTTCATAGCAGTTTCTGTTTCACCTGTCAGCTGGCAGTTCCTAATTGGAGGCCGCGACCCCACGTCTGCCCCTCCGGAGGTTGCCTCGCACTCCGGGTGCTCAGCCGGTGCAGCTGGGATGGGCCTCTGCTGCAGGCTCCTCTTTATAAACGGCGGGGGGCAAGGAGGTGGACGTCACCTTCTTGAGCCGTCCAACTGAATCTTTTATCCCTGGCCCGAGGACTGAGGGCTTCTTGCCGGCTGCAGGACCTTGAACGTCCACTCGTGGGAATCTGATCCAAGGAGCAAACTGGGAGGAAAACACTTCTGCACAGGCCACGACTGGGATTTTTAGGACTGAATTCAACACCAGTGCTCGAAATAAACACAATTTCCTCTGCACCGGGAGAGAAAGACATTCTAAGGCTGACATTGGGGCAGAGATGCCCCCTTCCAGGAACAAGGTAATTGCAGAGCTGCCTCTGGGGGGCCCTCAGGGAGCCACAAGCAGCCATGGATCAGCATCCCTGCGGACAGGACACCATTGGGCAGAGGCCATGCAGGAAGTGTGGGTATCCAGCCCCACTGCACACGTGCAGACCAGAGCTTCCCTGCTTGTGCGCAGTGATTAAGCGTGTCGTCGGGAAGGCAGCCGTCCCAGCCACAGGGATGCCATGGACGACACCTTAGGGGCTCTGTGGATCAGCTCTGATTAAACCTCAGGGCTGCAGCTGAAGATGGCAGCCACGCCTCGTGGCCCTACCCACTGAATCCAGCTGCAGTGCATAGCACGTCATCTGGCTGCCGTGCTGAGTGGCGGAGAGCAGGTCAAACAACACACACCTGGTCTTCCCAAGCCTTTGGGCACCTGCCTGGACTGGGGACTGAAAGAGCTGGCATCTCAGCCTCATGCATGGACAAGTTTTGCACAAACACAAATGGTTAGAGCCACTCCTCGTCACCCTGAGAATCCAGAGTCCCTGCCAAGTGGGCCCAGGCCAGCACTTTGTACCATCTCCACCTGAGCCACCCCAATATGTTCACTGGGCTTCGGGTGACACCAATGGTCATATGTGGAGCCTCCCAGGGCACACTGCATGCCTCACCTTCTCAGTCACAGCTGTGCCTCAGGGTCTGGTCACAGACCTGGAAAGAGAGTCACAGGTGGGGGCGGGGTCCTGAGGAGAATCAGCAGCCCCCCACAGACAACTACTCTGGGGGGACTACAGGTTCTCCAGGAAGGGGGACTAACCTGCCAGAGGCAGAGGAAGGGCGCTTCCTGGAGAATTTAGGGGCTCAGGTCCCCACCTTCTCCAGAATCTCCCCACATGTCCCCATCCAAGTGACGAGACCCCTTCTTGCCCAACAATACCCTACCCTTCATAAAAAATGGCTCAAGAGCCCAGAAACTCAACTTGTCTTGTGAGGCAACCACCCACCAGATTAGACCTTGGGTTTTATTTTCAGAAATCTGGACTCGGTGCCTGCAAGAAATAATGAATTCTTTTAGGGCAGCTATGTCAGGGTCTCCAGGACCACCTGGCTTGGTGACTTACCAGGGCCCCCCCAGACTCAGCAGAGGTCGTGCCCCCAGCTGGGATTCACAACAGAGAAATGGTACAATGCACAGGAAGGGAGAAGTCGGAGGACGAGGGCTGAGTTTCCGGGGCCCCTCCCCCTGAAGTCACACAGGCCACCACCAGGCGTGAGGTGCTGTCTTCAGGGGAGCCCGGGAGAGACGCAGAGCCCAGGGTTTTTATTGGGGGCTGGGCCCGGGGCACCCCTGCCTACTGTTGATTCAGGGCACCCAGGAGGAAGTGGGTGCTCAGCGTGAACCACGCTGCACAGAGATGTGGGGGCAGTGAGGTCCTCTCATCCATGAGGGTGCCGGGAACTCTACTGGGAACGCCTGCTGGGGGCCACCCAGGGGGGCAGTGGGGCCTCCTTGTTGATCCTCTTCTGCACAACACAGAAGATTTTTGGTTCTTTATCTTCCCCCTGAGCTGGGAATTTTAAGCTCTGCACTCATAATTTTCTTCGTTTTCTGGCACACTTAGAAACTACCAACAAACCCCACAGCCTTTCCTGTTTATTTCCACTAAGTGGTCTGTGGCATCAGCCGCCTGGTCACCCGGAGCCTGGCCTTCTGCAGCCCCTTGGCTGCACGGACTGCACGGCAGGCCAGAGAGCCCATTCCCGAGTTCATCCTAAACCTCACCCCCTGGGCCCACTTCTGGCTCCAGCCTTCTGCCCAGCATGGCCCCTAGGGGTGCTGGGGGACCCGGGGCTATTGTAGAGCCAGACCCGATACAGCGTGGGGGGCTGAGGACGTGAAGGCTGGTGGGAGAGTGGGGAACACCCTGCCCTCTGCGTGGCCCGCGTGTCTGTGCGGGCTGAGACCGCCGTGTTCGGCGGCAGCCTTGCGGACTTGGACAGCGCATGGACAGCAGTGAGGACCTGCTGGACGGACCTGCTGCTGTTCGTCTCCACAACAGAGGGCAATGGCTCATTGTCCATCACCTGCAGCTCCGTGTCCGAAGATGATGTGCAATTAATCATTCCTATAATGTTAGGAAAAAGGAAATAAAGTCACATGTACTGTACCTTTATAACTATTTTCTTAATAATAAAAAAATACCTACGTAGACTAAACATCTGCCTTTGGCTGAGGTCATGATCCTAAGGGTCCTGGGCCTGAGTCCCGTGTAGGGCTCCCTGCTCAGCGTGGAGCCTGCTTCTCCCTCTGCCTCTGTGCTCTCTCTCTCAAATAAATAAATAACATCTAGAAAAAAACAACGTACAAGTAATGAGCAGTGATGCTGTTGGGTGGCAGAGCTATGGGTGTGGGTTTTTTTCTTCTTTCTGGATATACATATTTTCCTTAATTTATTTCTTTTATGAAGGGGGGAAACTTTGAAAACCACCACCAAAACTCCGTGTTACTTAGCATCCTGATCCACTGTCCTGGGTCAGCCACTCAGGTCTTCCCCATGTCCACCCCCACACCTTTTCTCTCTTCCTGAGTACTTCAAGCCACTCTCCCTTGCTGGCCTGCACACAGACCTTCCCTGGACCCACCTGGAGAACCCCACATGGAGGCCCCCACCTGGAGGGATCCCACCTGAAGGGCCCCACCTGCAGGACCCCACCTGAAGGGCCCCACCTGGAGGACCCCACCTGGAGGACCCCACCTGGAAGGCCCCACCTTGGAGGCCAACTCCTCTGCCCCCAGACAAGGGCCCCTTCCCCCCTCACCCAGCCGCCCTCCCACAGTGCCTCTCATTGGGGTTCTGCACAGCCAGCCTCGATTGGCATATTGCTGTTGCTCAGTGGGATCCCTAGAGCAACAGTCCTCACATGACATACAGATCGCCCAGAGATCCTGTTAAATGCAGGTGCTGATTCAGCAGGTTGGGGGAGATCCCAGGAATCTGCATTCCTAACAAGCTCCGGAGAGATGCCCATGCTGCTGGCCCCCAGAGCACATTTAGGGTCTCGAGGCATGAGCAGGTTCTCGACCTGGGAGTGTCAGAATAACCTGTACATGTTAGCAGATGGCTGGGCCCCACTTCTCAGAGTCCTGCCTCACAGCTCGAGGCCAGGCCTGGGACTCTGCACATCTGCCATGTTACCAAGGGTGCTAAGCAGGTTCAGGGCCAGGCTGTATGAGCCACTGTCTAAAGGAGAGGTTCTTAACCCTGACCGCACATCAGAACCACCTGCAGAGCTGCTCAGTAGCCGGGATTTCAGCCCCCGGTCTCCAAAGGCAGGGTGCTACTATACCGGGTCCAGGTGGGGCCTGGGTCCCCTGCTCGCCCAGCCCCTGCCCTTGCCCTGCACAGGATTCTCCCTGTGGATGCATCGGAGGCCTCCAAAGGTCCCACCTGCCTGTAGTGAGAAGTTCTGCTTGCACAAGATGGGCCTTGGTGGACACAGTGGACAAGGTCTACCTCCAGGCTAACTCGGCTAAAGGGCGCTGCGGCCTCTGCCAGCAGTGTTGGCCGGGAGCAAGCCAGGTGGCTGGCTTGGGAGCCTTCTGTCCTCTGTCTTCACCTGAACCAGGTGGAGCCTAGGGCACGTCCTGCCAGCGAGCGCAGCAGAGGCTCCTGTTAGGAGGCCTTGGGGCGCCCTCTGCCGTCTGACTCAGGAACACCAGCGTGGCCTCTGGCCGAGGTCACTGAGAGCGGCCGACCCCGGGCGTGGGCCCCTGAGGGCGAGCGCCCAGCCCACCTCAGATGTCCTGGAAGGGCGGGCAGGACGCCTTGGGTCACAGCCCTTCCAGCTGTCCCAACACAAACCAGAGCCTTGTTCATTATGAAGTCCTAAAGCCAGAGGTCCTCGCACACTTGGGTTCCCCTGCCTGTGCCTTCCGGATGTTCCTCTTCCCTGACCTTCCTACAGCCACCATCAGCTCAGATCCCATCCGCGGCCTCAATTTGCTTCTGGAAGTTTCCCCACAGCTCAGCTGGTCCAGCCTGGGACCCTCAGCCCTGGCTGCCGGCTTGCCCCCAGGCTCCCTTCTGGCCAGCCCACATTTGGGCCCCTGGAATGTGTGCACAGCTTCAGCTCTGGGGCCTCCCTCTCTGCCCCTCCCTGAACCTAGGAACTTTGCCCCCCTCTGGAACCTCTGCCGTTCCCAGAGCACGGTCAGTCTCTGTCCCATGTCCCCGGCCCTAGTCAGTGACACTGCCCTCCTGCTTAGCCATGCATTCCAGCTGGTGGCTCCGGGAGCGTGCCCGGGTGTCTGGGGCCTGGAGCACTCTCAGTGTCCCGTGGGTAGGGTTTGGTGACAGGGCTGATGGGCTGAACACACGGCAGGTCGGTGCCCCGCCTGGGTCACCCAGTTA